AAAAAAAACCTGTTGATGTAGGAAAGGCAGCAGATCGTAGTGACCGGGATCGCATACCAACACGTAGACAGGAGGTAGCGGATCGGTAATGGAACCTATGGTACCTGTGCTGGATCCCAGACCGCGTTGCTTTGTTGATTGGCGGGCAGAGTCCAGAGAAGCAGTTGAATCTGTAGATGCCAGTTTATTTTCATGGTCGGAACTGGGGAATAAAAGGCTGAGAGAGGGAAATTAAGTATATTAGCCAGACGATGAGAACTGAATGAAATCGAAGTGAAACTCCAAACTCGTTCCCAGTGCCGGTGTTGAAGAGTAAATTGAAGGCGGAGTGAGTTAGGAAATCCCTCTACAGCATCTATGGTCAGGTGAATCGAGTTCCGACCGTACCCGCTCAAGCAAACTGACAACTAGTCCTCCATCCCTCCTGGGTTTTCATCAGTTCTTAACTTGTTTGGAAAGATAGAAAAGATAGGTTCTACGCAAACGCAAACTGCCCAGTAAGTCATTGTATAGGACCTATTCAAAAGCCACTGGATGCTGGATGGGTGCGTAGGCACAGCCTGAAAGGGACTGGACGATGTTTCCGTTCGCCGAGCTGATGCCATGGATAAGAAGGTCACAGCATTCCTTTTAGAGCTGCGGAATCGTATAAATTCTCCCACCCGTTTCTCCTATTTTATGGTTCCATACAAGGCCAGCTATTCTTCGAAGAAAACTAGACTGGCAGTCTAATGGCTAAGCCCAATTCTATTCCAAGTCTTTTCAGAATCCAAAGTTTGAATCGAAACTCAACATTCTGAGCAGTGGGAGAATCTGGTGACAGTGAAGTAGCCATCCCTGCGCCACAATCACGAATCCGGCAAATACATTGCGCGCTCCAATCACGTCACGTTTTGGGTGTGGCAAGAGTGGCCTCAGTGGCAAGGGTACAAAAGAAAGTAATGAGACAGATTGCTCACCTAACAGGAACAACTGCGTCCGATCTTGCGCTTTATCGTCATCCACCTCATCAGCACCATAACAACGAATGGTTGCGGGACCGTTTCCCGTAGCAAACGGCTCGTTTCTCAGCAGAACCTGGAGACAGAAGTTGACACTGATTCGAAGTGATTTGGAGGCGGGCTTACATTCATATCCGTTATGAACTGTGCAACCATCGCCATTTCGCCATGTACGGCAATGTCGACCACATGACTGGTGGAGATATTGCTATGTTTCTTCCTGAATTAAAACTGTTAGAGCTGTTAAATACAAAAGAAGTATTGAGGCCTTTTTCCAAGCACAACTAAGCAACTTACGAACTGCTCCTTTATAGTTTTTTTTTTGAGAACATAACACCTCCTTCCTTCGAGGAAGTGCTTGAGGTAGGAGAAAGGGAATAGCATTGTGAGAGGAGCGAATCCCGAAAAGACAAGGCTCAGGTGGCGGTACTTCTCCCGAATTCCTATGGCAAGCGACTCCTTCACAGCGCGCCACTGCGTGAGACTGGGTGCGGCGAGCGCGACGCGATTTTCGGGGAGAAGTATCCACTGCCGAACCCTCGAAGTACGACAAGCATTATCACTTCTCTTGTCTTGGTTTTTTTTTTGAAAACTGTCTGGCGTAGAAATGAAGTTAACATAAGTATGCGTCCATTTAAAGAAAATCAATAAGAAACTAAACTCTTGGAAAAGACTACATTCAAAAGTGTTTGAGATGACTTGAAAATATAAAATACAGGTAATAATCAACTGATCCTGTTTAATAATAGTCGATGACGTTGTATACCTACTTTTGAAAAAAGACAGTAATGGCGTCGTGAACTGCTAGCTGAGCGCATCCGTTGAAGGATGGACATTCATTGACCGTAGGCCGAGCGAGGAACATGATGAAGCTGCGTACGATCGAATCGCGAAGTTCGAACAATCGCGACAGCTGCCGATACCTACATGGATACGATGAGGTACTAGAATGTAGTCATAAGTCGAAATTTGTGCAGCTTATTTGAGTTATTTGCATGATCACCCATTTAGGGGCTCAATATATGTTAAAGAGTACCGTATGAACTGTTTATATATTTTCGAGAAAGTGCTGTTAGGATAGTGTTCAATAATTTAGAATCGAGGGAGGAGATGCTCTAGCGTTTAATGTCGAAGGCTTCATTCCTGGTCAGTTCATATGTAGTGGGGTTGGTTATGTGCCTCTTAGAATGTCAGTCTGGTAACTTACCGAAAGTCATCTTGAAGGAATTCCTTGATCCGCAGCATTTCCCGTTCTGATACAGGAAACGCCTCATTGTCGAAGTCACCTCGAAACGATCGGACAACGTCGACGAACAGTTCAATGTTTTCTAGAAGACATTCGCGGAATTCGATTTCAGCTCGCTTCAACAAATCGTGCTAAAATGGCACTCTGTAACCTTCGGCTACCACCCAGCGAGTAAATCATTTCGCAGATTTACTAATTATTTCAACTGAACATACTTGAAAGCGATCATATACCATGGCGGCTTGACTAGGTGGTAATGCGTCGTAGGCTGGATAACCCTGAAAGGACTTTTTTTTTCAAATGACTTACCGATGTCTGTAAACAGTACAATACAACCGACTCCCATTTTCAAGGAGCATGTGTAGTCAACCATTAAAAGCCCAGTAGCCACCCCTTGCTTACTGAGGGGAAATAGAACCTAATTCTACATGTTCCACACTTTTACAAAAATATAGCAGTTAGCTTAACGGATTTCTACTCAAGAGGGGATGTAAAATAAACAAACTCAGTAAGAGACAAGTAAGAGGGTAAGAAGCAATCGCCCGTACGTAAGGGATGACTATATACTGGTCCTTAGAAGGAGTAAGCCTGAATGAACGACCCATATGACATAGGCAGCCCTTCTCACTTCCTGATTCATCCCACAATTCCTTCCTTCAAAAATAGAAGTCATCCAATTAGTCCACTTTTCCTCATACAACAAAAACCCTTGACCATATTACCTCGACAGGCCTCGTTCACATTGGACAGCCGATCCAAGGACGGATCTCTGCTTCAGTGATTTTAATGTCAGGCCTTTACATCCATAATCAATTTTTAACTTGCCTGTAGGAATATGCTGACATCCTGTAATGGCTTTCCTGGAGTGACCTGTGGTGTATCGGAAAGCAGAAACTCGAACTCCTCCTCAAGTCGTTCTTTTCGCTGTTCTGTTTCCAGAGCTTGCTTAACAGAACACAATGCAGTATTTGAAACTGATAATTTTGCTTCTGCCACGAGGTTGTTAGGTGGGAATCTTTATTCTGGCCGACGTTTCGACGGACTCGTCGTATGTATGTATGGACAATGCAGTATGTAGCAAAGCACTCGCTGTCACCTATCCCAAACTCATCAGCTTCTTTTCACCCATGAGAACTCCCCAGCAAAATGGTAGGAAAAAACATGGGAGGAGCGGTATGCAACTTTAGATGAGTACTCTGCAGCTGCGACATATGCTAAGCCCTTTGAATGGCCTTTCAGAAATGTTCTTTGTAATCATTTAAGGTAGAAGCGGACTATAAACGTACCTTATAGCCTTCAAATGCTAGCCGTGCTTCATGTCGGAGAAGAATCTCAGCGGGTATTCGATGATCTATCAGTGTAGACTGTGTCATACGAGCTTCGTAGTCGGACGGAAGCGGATCGAGTTGTTTGCCTGAAAATCAGAACCATTTTGCCATTTGGTCCCGTAAATCAGCCGCCATTACTTACCGAGTTGCCCTAAGGGCTGAAAGAACTCGTCGAATAGGGGATGTGAGTGGATCAGGTGATTGGCAGTCGTCCAACTCATTTCAGCTACATCAGACTTATCCAAAAGTGTAGCGAATACCCGTGGCAAGTTTGGTAGGAGGGCGCGAAGTCTAAACTCTCAATTTGAAGAACTCAAAATGAAAAGGAATTCTCGCTTCATACCGAGCTGCCATCCAATGTTCCCTGGCTTCGTTTACATGTGCGTCATAGACTTTCTTCGCCGTAGCCTCACCGTATATTCGTACAAAATTACAGTAATCTGGTTGTCGCTCTAGGCAACGTTCACTGACTAGTCTGAAGAATCAAGACGAAGTGGAAATACCGTATACCTCAAAGTCTCGTAGCTTACCTAGACCATGACAATCGCACGGATGGCCAACTTTCGACTGGTAGTAGCGCATGTAACAATCGCGTAAACGCTATCCTGAAGTCGATACTTACGTTGATGGACGAGTTTCACAAACAAACGTGAAAAGTAGGAATTTCTAGCGAAGTGGTAAAATGACTTCATCGCGTTAGGTAACGACCCGCAAGAGATCTCAACGTGATTCTTATGAGATCACTCAAATCTAGCTTCATAAAAAGGCGGAAGAAAGCGTTTGCCCAGCAGAATCTACTCAGTAGGTTGTAGAGTTCCTAAAAGTTTCGTAGCCCACTTAAGCCTCGAGTAGCAACCTTATCAGGACTGATGAAGGATCGGTTCTAGAGGTAAAGTAGTTTAGGAGAACGCTTTCTGCAACCTGCCCATTTACCTATAAAGTACCAAATGGAATAGTTGCAGGAAATCATTCCTAAGCCGTACGGCACCCTCTAAAGATCACCTTTCTCCCTATACACCCTCTTAAATTGGGTAAATCACAAATCGCGGAATCTTAGTTTCCCACATTACGCCTGGAGCTGGTGCTGGTGTACTGTGGGTAGACGGATAGGGGAAAGAATCAAGAGGAATATCAGTTTCTCAGTGGTTTCGATCATGGAATGCCACATTCGAACTGGAACGCTACCACACTCTGAGTTCGGAACCCTTGGGCAACTCAAACTTCTCCCGATTCCTTCCCTTACCCTCTTCCCTCGCAGTTCCTCGTTGACTCATGACATATTCCATCTTTCTAGATGGTTTTTTGTATAGTTTAGGTGCCCCCGTACTGCTGTTCTCTTACTTCCGTAGGTCGACCCAAGACGCTATGGGTGCAATTCGATCTCTTGGATGCCAGCCGCAGCCCATGCCCATTACTGGTCAGCGTCCCCATTCAGTTATTCAAACGGGTTTTGCCTCACGCTCACACCCATACAGCTATGCGATCCTTCTTGCGTCACGCTTTCGGTCTTGGACCTCTCGTAGTAATTACCTCGTCGAAGTGGCTAATTATTCATGCAAAGCCCCTCGTTGCTCGACACTACAAACACACGAAACCCTTTTAGCTTCTTCATAGCACCACTCTGCACGCGAACATTCCGAATTAATGAACGTGCACTGAGGGAAATTAAAGCTAAGCAGTCACGTCTAAGATGGCTAGTGCATAGAATTTCAATTAATGACCGGCCGAAATGATGAAAATCGATAGCTATGGAAAATAAAAAAATTTGGAACTAATTATTCGAATTCAAAAAAAAAGCAAATCAAAGCGAAGGGCGAGCCTCACCTAACATCCCTATTCCGCTCGGTGACCGTCTTCAGTGCATCCGAAAACGACAAAATTTTCAGTCGTAATTTACTACGTAATGCAGCACAAGCTGTTGCCACGAACAACTCGTCCACATTCACGTTCATCAGCGCTGAGACTTCTATCTGAAAAATTTTATATTCAAAAACTACCATATTTTGACAAAAAATTTTATGTGCTATATAAAAAGGAAATAAACGTTAGGTAGTCAATACAGTCTGATTCAGATACTAGTACCAGAAGTGGTAGACACCCTTTGAGCTCTCTCATCAGAGTCCTGGGGCTCTCAATATGTCAAGGAGTGGTACCGGGGGGCGGTGGTGTAGAGGCTAGCGGTGCTCTTTCACACGTACAGTCCTGGGCTCAAGTCCCGGAGTGAACTCGCATCGGCCAACCATGTCTTCCATCACTTCTGTGTTGGTTAACTGGTATATGGTCACCGAGTAGGATAGAAGCATTAACTTGTACATCGTTGCCACGGCGAATCATTGCACAGACAGCATACAAATTCCAAATACCATTGCGATTCTGAATGGGAGTCAGAGGCGAGGCGTACCCAGAAATCTTCACACCCTTTACCTTTTTTATCCAGACCTTTTGATATCCGGTTAGCGAATTAATTTTTTCAACCCTGGCTTTCAAGAACTTCCCTAGGGACTAGCGGGTCCTGAGCGAACTACAAATTAGTCGCGGAGCTT